CGCGTACGTTTTACGCTTCCTTCAGTAGCAGTAGTAGTAGTAGTAGTAGTAGTAGTAGTAGTAGTTGGGCGGAGCCTCATGGTGTCTCACAGATGATGGCAAGCCCGCAGAATCAATCACATTTCACGATGGACATCGTAGAAACGTCTACATGATTGTGGTTCAATCTAAACCGCCGGCATGCGCAAATGCACGTGTCGCGGCTGAACCACACAGTTGCTGAAGCAAGCTGCCCAAGCCTCCCCTTGTCCTAATCGCGGCGCCGGTGAATATGGCTTTCTCAGCGCCACCTTTGGCCCCGGATGACGAGATGAAGAACACGGAAGCTTTGGAGCAAGGCTTCTTTGATCGCTATTGGCCAGCGGTTGCTGGACGAGCGCCAGACTCCAGCCAACTCTCCACGGCCCCTCCGTCTGAGGAGGCCGATAGAGGCCATGATGACAGACAAAGGAAGGCTGCCAGGCACGACTGGGGAAAAGGACAAGGATACGGCCAGAGCTCTGGTCGTCGAGGAGGCGGCAAGCGTCAAGCTGCGGAGACAACGCCGCGGCGACGAACGGCAGACCAAGAATGGGACCCCTGGGCCTCGGCAGACAAGTCGAAGAAGGACCTCGAAAACGAGGTAAAACAGCTCAGGGCAGATCTATTCTCCATGCAGAAGCTGCTACTACGTCATGAGGATTTCTTGGCAGGACTTCGTGCCGAACTCACTTGGGTCATGTTCATGAAGCTGGACATGAAGGCCACTGTTGTGCCAGCACTGTTTACGATGCAGCAGAAATGGAGAGAACTCAAGGAGAAATCCCCTCAGCAGCCACAGCAGCCGATGAGGGTTTTCCTCATCCGAGCTCTCTTCGAGGAGCTGCAGGCCAGGCTGGTTGCACTTCCGGAATCCGAGGAGTTCCAGAAGGTGCTGAAGAATCTGGGATGGTATGAGCCGGAAACGCGAGATTGGGCCTACGTCAAGTGGGATCCGACCAACGAGCGCCTCGTCCCTGACACGGAACGTGGGCATGTGGCCTTTGAAAAGCTTGCGGCCATCTTCGAAGCCATGCAAACTTTGACGGCCATTCCGGGAGCAGTGATGCGGTTTCGTCCCAGCAGAGATCTCACGGAGAAGATGACGGGACATGTCCTCATGTTCAGCCTGCAGCTTTGCATCAATGGTGACGCCAGCCAACAAATCCGTGAGCACCTGGCTCTGCTCACAAGCCTCAGCGTCACGCAGTTGGTTGGAATGTCACTGCGCCCGGAACGCCCAGCGCGCTCCAACTTGGCGAACACGGTGCAAAAGGAGAACCAGGCCTACTATGGCTAGCTGTTGCTGCTTATAGGGACTATCGGTCCGGGCAACAGCTTGCGTAGATGTCCGCACACTGGATTTCAGCAAGTCGCCATAGCGATGCCTATGGCGAAAATCTCCAAGCCTGAGCACCTGCGCTCTAGATGGACTGCATCTCCGGGGTAAAGGAGATGCGCAAGACGTTATATGCAGTCGTCAGATGCAAAAGATTTGGTCAAGATGACAACTCCTCTTGTAATCCGAAGCACGCAGGAGGATCGAGAAACCCTTCTTTTCAGGAAGCTCAAGGCGCCTTCCGTTTTGAGAGGTAAGATCCGCGGATTGTACAGCTCAGCTCTTGCACTCGGATGACCGAAACACAGCACTAAGATGACACAGACTCGGGCTTATCGAAACAGGTTTCACATCCACCAGGGGGTGCATCCGAGGCTGAGTCGAGTAGGATCTTCAGAGGCCCCGGCTGAAGGGCGTATTGCCCTGAAAGCATCACCTTTCTCATAAGTGATGCATTACCAACCCGCTTTGTCAAGCAGTCAGCTAACATAAAAGTGCCGGGAACCCAGAAAACAAGTGCCTGAAGCGTTTGAGCTGAAGCTGCTAGCACGGCTACATCAATTTGGGCTCGACGGCATAGGCCGGCAGCTCCACTTCGTCGGTGACAAGGATCGTAGAGAGCTCTGGCATCCGTCACAAGGATGCTTTCAGCATCGTCCTGCTGGCGCACAATCATGATTGAGTCCAGGCCTGGTCCAAAACGGCTTCCATCGCATATCGTAGAGTTTGCCACGCATGATTCAGCAAACATCGCCCGAAGCCACTCCAGCTCTGCAAGTCCATCGTCCATGGCCAGAGCTTCAGAACCCAGTGAAGCCTTGACGACTCTCTTGAGTCGATGTGATCGCCAGCAGTTTATGCTGAACATAGCCAACTTGCCGTCCTTGATGGTCTTCTCAGCAAAGGCCACGACAAAGCCACCTTGAGACTTTTCGGAGTCATTGGCCACCGAAGCATCGCTGACCGCCATCCACATGCCCTCTGACAGGTCAATCGGCATGATCCGCAGGTAGCAGTCGCTCGTCTTCTTGAGCTCAGCAATGGTTTTATTGACTGCCTTGACGTGCTTGATCCGGGGGCGGCCACTGCCCCACGACATCGCCATTGAGCAGGCACCGGCCACATCTGGTCGGGACTCCTTCCCAATCCACAGCAAACTTCCCCCACTTTCCAAGCCGGAAGCGGTCTTTTAGTTTCAGCATCAATTGCTTGTGGCGAGCACCTCCGCCCTGGGCAAAATCATCCACGTCCAACAAGACCAGGCCGGCGCATCCAAGGGAGGCGCCCTGTGCTCGCTCCTCCGCATTGTAGTGAAGGATAAACAAACATGGATCGTAAATGGATTCCGAGTAGCCAAGGGACAACAGGACCTTACGGACAGTACGGCGCCACGTGGCTGGCGCGTTCACCAATCCATAGATGGCAGTCAAAATCTCCACCAACATCCATTGCTCTTTTCCAGGAATCCCCGTAGTCGGCATGCTGGCGTAGAGGGGTCCTTGCTTTCGGACCTCAGCGTCACTCTGACCAAAGGCACTGGTGACGTCCATAATTTCCAGGCCAAAACGCTGCGACGCAATCAATTGAAAAGCCAGATGCACCGTGGGCCCCGATGGGGTAGGACTGAAACGCTCAACTTCCAGAGCGTCGGGGTCACGATGGCCCAACAATATCCAACGGGCCTTGGCTTTCCAAGCCTCCCCCAGCTCCTGGGATTTCTTTGTGAGGACGAACCTAGACGGCATGATGCGATGCCCCAGTTCTTTCTTGACTCGCTGCACCTCGTCAGGGTCTGTGATGAACCTGATCGAGTTCCCTTGTTCAAGGGTGTTAATCTCCTTGAGTTTGGCCTCGTTGAAGAGCTCCTGCTCCTGCTTGGTGAAGTTCTTCTCATTCAATTCCTTGCCACTTTTCTTGGTCAAGTACACATGGGAGCCATAGATCTGAGCATGCTCAAACACCATGTCACGCTCTAGAACTCGACTGAACAGCTTGAGGTCCCGGGCATTGGCAACAGCAACATGCTTTGAACGGTCACCAAACTCAGTCTGGACATCAGCCATCCAAACGCCGAAGACTTTGGAACGTTGAGGAGCAGAGCCTTCTTCACCGGCCGGATCATCCAGAGTTCGCTTGACACGCCTATCAATCAGGCGCGCATCCTCTGGCACAGGCTCATCATCCAACTCAGGCCTGTCTGGATCCGACAGCAGAACTCCAGGATCAGGATGACCCACAACTTTCTTGTACACCAGCACTGTCTTGATAGACTTCAGCTTCTTCGGCAAGGGCTTGTGGAGGTCACGTGAGGCTTCATTGCCTCGAATGTCCTCCCTTTTGATGACTCGGCCTGTCTCATTGTCAACGGTAATTCTCTGAACGACATCACTCCACATTGGCCCCTGACTGTTTGACGTCCGGTAACGGTTGGCACCTCTGTCATAGCGGATCCACTTCTTGAGGATGGTGCCACTGCCTGCTGGGGGCCACTCCGCCTGTCCTGAAGGTGCCCTTGGAGTAGTGGACGTGGAACTTGATGACGACGACTCAGGTGTCATAGCGCCCGAAGGCACACCAGACGAACCCCCCGAACTGGAGCTAGACGAAGTAGATGACGAACCCCCCGAACTGGAGCTAGACTCAATAATAATGGGGACCACGGAATCCGGAACTGGGATTTCTGCGGATACTTCTGGTTCTCTTTCATCATCACCAACTGCATTGCCCGGCTCACCTTCAGACAAGATCTCATCTTTCACGGCAGAAACCTCATCATCGACAAGGTCCAGTTCCTGACTCACATCCTTGAACATCAGCCTCTCAGAATCATACTTCAGCCTGGCCTTAGCCTGTAGAAACTCCTCGGGAACAGCTTCCAGGCCATCTTTGTCCGCATTGCTCATCTTGAAAACCTGGGCCACGTGCATTTCCAGAGCTCACCACGTCGAGTCACCCAGACCGTGTGACCATTCTGGAGTATCACCCAGCACAGTCCGACTTTGGCTGTGCTCCCGCGGCGACCCATCTTCCACACCAGGACCGGCTCACCTTCATCGAACTTAAGCTTGTTGATCTCCTGGCGAGGACGGGCCAACTTGGCACGTCTCACACGGGCCTTGGCATCCAGTTCAATCAATGCCTTGCGCGCAGCCATACGGAACTCATGAGCTCGCTGCCATGCTGAGTCAGTGGTGGGGCTCAGCTCGAATTCGCCACCATCGGAGAGAGCATCCAACGTGGTTCGAGGTTGACGGCCGAAAACTCGTTGGGCCGGACTGTACCCAGACCGGTTGGTCAAGGTCTGAATGGCCCAGCTGACTTCATAGACCAGCATCTCCGTCTCTGCAAAGTCAAGTGGTTGTCGTAGTTCACGTGACCGGTAGTAGGCTTCTTTGAACATTCCACCACGGCGCTCCACTGTGCCCAATTCGAAAGGCGACTGCCGGTTGATCTCGATCGGGCGGATGCCGTGCTGTTCCAGGCCTTCTTGGAACACCTTTCCCACAAACTCATTCCCCTCGTCAAACAAGACGCAAGCTGGTGGCCCAAACACCCTGAGCCACAAAGTCATGAAGGCCTTCCAGGTCAGCTCAGAAGACCGCTTGCGGGCATCGATCACACCAAAGGTGCTGTACAACGTCCCGAGACATGTAATATTGAGAACCGGATGTTCTGCTCGGTGGGAGGCCCCGTGCACAAAGAGGACGTCCACTCCCAAGATGACGTTAAAATCGTACACCCGGGGCGTTGCTGAGGGAAGTCTCGTGGGAGGCCGCTTCTCCTGGACACACCCAGGACACTGAAACTCTCGGGCCACATACTGTAGGATATCATGCCGGGTGCCAGCGGACTTCAACACACGGATGAACTCCCGGTTGTTGGGATGCCCAAGATTGGTGTGGCATCGAAGCACCTCAGCTTTCTCACGATCAGTGAGATCATAGGAAGCCACATACGTAGCGCTGTCAGGCGGTTCTGGCCAGTAGTAGAGGACAATCACCGCTTGATGTTTCCGGGCTTCGGGGTGCCACTTCCCAGTAGCTCCCTTTTCCAACCACCGCCAATCCTTGAAACCAACCTTCACGATTGTCCAACGCGAGGTGCGGTGACCTGGCCCGATCTGAGGCAACAAAGCCTCGGCAGGTTTCAGAGAGATGTACATCGCCTGACCATAGTAGTCCTTCCACAGGTGCCGGACACCATTCCCAACGGCGGCCTCCACGACTATGACCTGGGCATGGAAATGAATGCCTTGGTGATCCAGGAGTTCACCGATGACTCTGTAACGTACCTCAATGAAATGGAGCATGATGGCTATGAGGTGACCCTGGATAAAGCCGCCAAGAAGCAACTCTCTGAGGCTCTGGATAGATCCCTGAGTGGTTCGCTCAATTACTTTGAGCTGTGGGAAGAAGGTCTTTCTTCATCCAAGCAGGAGACCGAGCCTTTTGAGTCTCTAGTGCTGGCAACCAGACGAGGCCGGGAGCACCCTGGCAAGCCAACAGCACCTCTGATCAGGCGACCGGTGCCTACGCCCTCTGTCGATGACCTGAACTTGGGCATGAGCCAGCGGAAGGAGATCCTCAGTCAACGACGTTTCTTGCCTCAGGACATTGACTGTCAAGTGTTGCTTGATGATATCGAAAAGTTTGTCAATGTCGACAATGTTCCAGCGACCAGGTTGAGGACAGGTCGCCACTAGCCGGGTTCCAAAGAAAGACCGGCTTCTCACAGGTGCCTTGCCATGCACATAGCGCCCGTAGCACCAGTGAGCCACAGAGTTGCTCGGGTTGACTAGGCCGAGGATCTCAGACACATTCCCCAGCTGATCTTGCACACTTTTATCACCAAGCCAGCCAATCATGACATTGGCCCGGCCGTCACCAGCAACTCCTGATTCGCAAGAGGAACTTGGTATCCACCTCTCGCTTCGAATTCTCGCATCACTTGCGGCCACTCCACCTCCAGGGTCAGGTCGTCGCACGTTGGGCACCGAAGTGCCTTCCGGCCGCGATGCATACATTCCACAAGCGGCGTCTTCTGACCCCCCAGGCACAAGCGGCATGCTGTTGTCCAGCCACTTGTGGGGACACGTCGTTGAACCGCCCAGGCAACCCCAGACAAACTGGTCGTCCTTCTTCATCAGGTGCACCAGGCCATGGCACATCTTGCACTTCTGCGAAGGACCGGGCATCACCATCTCGGCCCCCTCCCGTAACCAGAGGTCCTGCTCGTCCACATCGATCTCGGAGATCGGGGGCTCGTTGGAGTCGGGGGTGGCAATGCCCATCTGCACAGGAGCTTGGTCCACATCCATGGCTTTGCCCTGGCTGCCCGAGCGCATCGACAGCTGACCCATAAGCACAGGTGGCATCCAGGAGCTCGCCGCGAAACTCGGCATAGGAGTCCCGGGTTGTCTGTCCTTCTTCTTCTCGCGCTCGGAGGCTTTCTCGAGCTTCTTCTCGGTGGGCGTCTTGTAGTTCGGCGGCTGGAAAATCATGATCGAGTTCCACTTGCTCATCTCGCCGAGGTCCATCTTTGGAACTTGTTCCACCGCATTGCATCGAACACACTTTGTCCATGCCCATTCCGAGTTGCAGCCATGCTTGGTGTCCACGTGGCTGCAATTGGGGTCCGACCTCAGGACCGGAGTCAAGAACTTGCTCCTGCCACGGTGCTCCACCTTGGGACGCAGCTGCTCGGCATGATCTTCGGCTTGAAGGACACGTCGTTGAGGCTGAAAGCTGGCTCGTTCTCCAGCTTCTGCCAAGAGCGCTTGTTCGCGCTGCTGCAGCAGTAGCGCCTTCTTCTCGTATGCTTCTCGTTGCTGTGCTAAACGTCGAACTCGACGAAGCTGGGGCTGCATCATGATGGTCTCGAAGGCACCTCGCTCCAGCGTAGCCAGCACATAGAACAAGCGCAAGACGCATCGCCTCCACCGCCGAAGGCATAAGGATTTCCTGCTGGTTTCCATCAAGCAGGGATACACAGAGCTCGGAGGAGGGCTTCAGGAACGGTCCTTTCACCTTCCAGATCTCACTCTTGAGAAAGTCATACGTTGCAGGAACATACCATCCTTGTCCGAACTCGCACAACGAAACTGCCACATGTCCAGAGCTACGGCGGTTCATCGATTGCACAACAGACAGCCTGGTGTATGCAATCATGAGCCCTCACATGTCAATCACAGCCCCCTGCTGCTCCAGAAAATATGCAGGAATCAAACACGGAACCCATCCAGGAACAACTTGGACCCGTAGTATACCACATCGACCCCCAAGACCGATCGGAATGTAGGCCACACGAGTAACTTCTTCAGAGCCACATACCCCTCGAACAGTGCCACCCTGCTCATCTGAGTACTGAACCCGAAGATGAAAACGTTCTTGAAGATATTGGTCGTGCCTAGCCAGGGTGTCACTTCCGATTAGGCCATGTTGAGCAGCAGTATCCACTAGGGCGGTACCCGAGGACTCGGTCTCGCAAGAGGCAAACGTGAAAGACAAGAGAGTCAGCATGTATTCCGACGGGGTCGCAAACTGCTCTTCAAAGAAACTCTCCTTCGCCAGCGACGATTGCGCTGGGATCGGCGAGGCACTTGCTGGCACACCAGGTTCACTCATCTGACTTGAGTCCATGGAAAATCCCGTGAAACCTGACACATTGTCACTTCCAGCTGCGCACCAGAACTCTGAGCCACTGTCGTCCTGGCTCCAGGAAGGGCTGCCAACAAAGAAGAGGTTGGTCGAGGGAGTCCCGGAACGGCCACCAGGTTGACTTCCAGTGCTCGAGGTTCCGCGGGGGCTCGGAGGAACTGGTGCTCTGCGTCGTTGCGGGCAGTCCTTGGACCAATGCCCAAGCTGTCGGCAGTTGTGGCATCTGCTGCGGTTTTGGATCTCCTGCAGAGAAGCTCGGGGCCTATGGTGGTCGCCACCATGCCCTTTCCCATTTCCAAAACCACGGCTCGTCCGGGCATCTTGAAGAGCTCGGCGATGGTCGGCATAGGTTCCATAGATTCTAGCCATAGATGCCGAACCCCTTGTCCGAGGAGCTTCCACGCTCCTTGCCTTTTGCTTTGCCCTTTCCCTTGCCCTTGAACTTGCCTTTCCCCTTGCCCTTTGCGTTCCATCGGCCACCAACCTCGCCGAACACATAGGCTCGCCCGTGTAGGCCACAGCTTCATCTTCATCCAGCATCTGGGGAAGAGGCTCATCGAGACAAAGGAAAACTGAGCCACCGTCATCAACCTCAAGCAGATCCTCGAACGGGTCAAGGTCCAAGGTGAAGTCCGGGTCGTCCGGGTACAGCGAGTGCCCGTAGTAGGTCTGGTCGCCGTAGGAGGCCTGCTCGCCGTAGTCATAGAAATCCTCCTCAGAAGGTTCACCGAACTCACCCCAGTAGGAGGAACGACCCTTATACAAACCGGCGTCATCGATCGAGTCGGCAAAGACCTTCCGGATCGCCAGCTCCACCTTCCTGAAGTCCACAGAGCCATCCGTCAGCACCCGGATGCGCTGTTGCTCATCCTGGCTGAAGCCACCCTGCCTCATCACCAGGTGGCCAAGCAGGTGTTGGCCTGCTTCATTCTCCAGCAAGTCCAGGCCTTGCTTCCGTAACTCTGCAAAGGCTGCTTTCTTCGTGGCCAAGTAGCCGGTGATGGTCTGCCCGGCCTTCCTCCTGCCACCAAAGATGGCAGCATTAAAGGCCTGTTCCAGCTTTGCCACTTTGAGGTAGTCATGGGCCTCCTCGCTGCACTTGACCACTTCTTTCCAGCCATTCTCCGCGGTTATATCCTCAACTGATAAATGTGCCACCACGGAGGACAAACGGCTGGCGTAAGGTATAGCATCCAGGATGCCCTTGCCAATCAAAGACGAAGGAAGGCGCTCACGCGCCTCAATCAACCACAGCTTCAGCTTCCGAACGTACTCCCGGTACTCAGACTCTGGCCGCTCGCCGTCCCAGACTGGAGCGCTCTCCATTCTGTAGTCGCTGTACTTCCTGGCTCCACCAGCAGAACCATCGAGGCCATCAGGACCTGGTCCGCACTGGAGAAGTAGGTCCTCGATTCGTCGGAGACCGGGGGCCTGTCGTGGCTGAAGCTGCATCCGTAGCCATCTTTGATGCAGTTGCTTGGGCTCACTCACTTCCACTTTCCCGCACACAAACACCAGAAAACTTCCCAGCTGCACTGGTACGTCACAGGCCAGGGCTCCAAAGTTCAGGGAAGACCCAGCCAGCCAAAACTCCGAGGCTGAAGGTGCCTCGTTAAAAGCGCCTGGTTCGAAGATTCCAGGCCTGAAGGAAAACTAGTAGTAGCGCTCGAAGCTCGCAAAGTCCCGAAGGAATCCCCGTCACCGGCCGGAGAATCTTGTAATCGGACACGTCCAGGGTGTCCGGCTCCGGGGGCGTCCCCCCAAACAATCCTGTGCGGTCAGCGGGCCAAGGTCGTCACCCTGGCTCCGCTACCATGTAATCCGAAGCACGCAGGAGGATCGAGAAACCCTTCTTTTCAGGAAGCTCAAGGCGCCTTCCGTTTTGAGAGGTAAGATCCGCGGATTGTACAGCTCAGCTCTTGCACTCGGATGACCGAAACACAGCACTAAGATGACACAGACTCGGGCTTATCGAAACAGGTTTCACACCTCTCATTTCTTCCAGTGCAATCCACTCCCCCCGACTTACAGTGCGGATTTATGCTCAGGTCCCAATATAGTCATTGACATCGAGAGCGCGCTGCTGACGTTCTACCACGACCTGTGCCGCCGCATGTAGTGCTCAGCGTCACAACGAGTCTTGACCATGCCAAAGTTCTCTTTGTCTATGTCTTTATGATCTGCCGCTTTGACAGTCTGTGCTTCACAGGGACTGCCGAGAACGTTGGGCTCATAACATGTCCTCCACACAAGTCTGGGGTAGGCGACTACACACCTCAGGCCATGCTCTAATTGATCTGGATGCCTCTGATGATGGAGGCGATCATGCTCATTCTGTTGCCGGAAGTGCTCGAGGGCAGGACTCATCCGGCCTACACGCGGATCCTGCGCGCCCTCCAGAGCCTCTTGATCCTCGCCAGGTCAACCCTTCTTCAAGGACAGGGCGGAGGCACACACAGCAGGACCGCAGCCGCAGCCGTGCACACAGTCTGAGCAGGACTGAGGACAGGACAGAATACAAACAATTATCGTTTCGGGAGGTCTTTGCGAGGCAAGCATCAGCATCATCCCCACCATTGACTCTGGCTCCCCATACCAATGAGCTGGACCAAGATTCGGAACATAATGAACGTGTCATTTCAGTTCTCAGCCAGCCCATTGATGAGGAAGACGCCGGCATTGACTTCGATCCGCCCAGCAATGTTTATGATATTAACCCCTCGAACTCTCCAGATGCCCTAGCATGCTCATGGCTGATGTCAGGAAGAGTAACATTCAGACAGCTACGACGACTGTTTGATTTTCTTCCCACGGTTGTTACCAAGAGACATCAATCCCCTCAAATCACGACAACCACAGAGGCCAGAGCGATTCACCTTGGAGCATGGGTACATGGGGGAAATATTGGTCTTACAACAAGCTGCGGGCATTTCCCGAACGTTGTCAAATTGCTGTGTCGCCTACTACATACGCTTCATCCGCAGGGACACTACAGCACAGTTTTCATGGCGTTGAACGTTCCCTCAGGTGTACATTCGGATCCTCATAACCACTCGAAAGTTGAGAACATTCTGGTGCCACTCAGCAGCTTTACAGGCGGCGAACTGTTCGTTGCTGACAAGCAAGGCTCTTTCAAGCTCGACTGCGAAGGCCTGATAGGCAGCATAAAGCCGATCACCCTGCCCTACACTTCGTTTTGGGCAAGGCGAAAACATGCTGTCTTACCATGGCGTGGTGATCGATTCTTGTTGGGCTCATACCAAGTTCGAAATTCTGAATGGTTGAAGGATTCTGACAAGCATCGCCTCGAGGAATTGGGTATGAAGCTTCTGTAACGAACCGATGCTTTCTTTAGTTGTTTTTCTTTCTGCAGATGCCGGATAGCAGGGGACATGCATACCGAAGCGGTGCAGAACAAAAGGAGGTACATACATGGATGTCAGATGCGGCAGTCGCGGATCCTTGCGGCATTACGGCATGAAGGACATCATAAGCTCTGCTCCAGGTACAACTCCGCCTGCCCAGATCGTCTAGAATGATCGACACATATCTGAGAGAGCTGTAAACTTTTCTTTCATGTCGTTTTCTGAACAGCTGTTCCGCAACTTTTCGCTGCTAGAAGCAGAAATACCTTGTGTACAGCTTGCTTCTATTTCCCAGTTTCAGTTGGTCTTTCCAGCACTTTCCCCAATTCCTCACTGCTTATAGGGGCTACCGGCCCGGGTGAGGCACTGCACGTTTTTGTGTTAATGCTGAGTGCGACGATCGCACAACAGAGCATCGAAGCTCCTCCATTTATTTCCTTCCTTGTCGTAGACAAGTAGACACACATAGCCACGCGGGGACGCCTTCGGACGTTTGCGCATTGAAGAAGAAGAAGAAGTAGTAGTAGGGTGTCCCCCCCCGGTGCGACGCCCAGACCTCTTATTTTTTGGTTTTTTTGTGGTCGGAAATGCAGGTATTTACAGCACTTTTTTTCCGTAGTTATTGAAAGCGGCAACTGTTCCTGGTTTCGTGTGTATTTTTTGTACCTTTTCGAACATTGTTCATCAATCTCG